GAAAGCATTCAATTTTTTTCTCGAAGGAGAACTTTAAAAATGACCAAAAACGTTTGAATAGATAATAAAATGGTTGCATATTAAAAGGTTTTTTGTTTGAGGTTTAAAATAATTTAATTCTTATCATCCAATTTCTTTAGCCCCTGCTATGTTAAAATTATTTGAAATCTGCCTTTATAAAATCATTTACCTCCCAATTACTTTCTGTTTGTGTCCCATTCAACATTCTGGTATAAAACATCGCTCTACTACAAGCAATCTCCTCGAAATTCAGTACTGTATATCATTCTATCAAATTTCGAGTTAAAACTTTCTACCTACATATCAATATTGCAAAAGATTTTGATTCTGTTGTTTTAAATATTCTGTTAGACAAATTATCTTCCAAATTTAAAATTAATGACATTGTTTTCACCTGGCTTAACAATTTCTTCCTATTATGTACTCATCAGATAAAGATTTCCAATTTTTACTTTTCACATTTTTTACCACTGTTAGGAAGACTTCAGAGTTCAATCCTTAATAATCTACTGTTCATGGTCTACATAAATAAAGCAATTTCTAGCGTTTCTTCTTCATTCATAAATGCATATGCCGATGATATTAAACTATGAAATGCAGTGTATTAAATTACAATGCAATGGCATGCTGTCCTTGGAAGCGGTGGAAGTGCCGCTTCCCTTGTATTATCTAAAATATAAAGATATATTGTGCGATTATTTTCATATTTTAACATACTTTGAATTAATTAAAATTAATATTTTATTAAAACTGCATTATGTACCTTATTACAAATTTCTATACAGATGAAAATACGATAAGATCGTTATTGTATATTCAAATATCAGTGGTGGAATGAAAGTGCTGTATTGTTGAAACTGGGTCAGCTTCCAAGCAGCCAGATTATAGGCATTTATGCTTTACAGAGCACCAACCTCACATGGTTTAGCTGGTGGAAGCTACACACCAAAATATCGCATAATGTTTCCAATGATTCTATCCAAGTCTGGTTCTGGGTTGTTAGCCACCTGTGTGCTAACAACCCAGATATTTGCCCCATTATGTGAATCACAAGTAGATTTATAACTTAACCCAACCGATAGAAGTTTACTGATATGTTTTTATGATAATTCTGTATAGTTGATAATAGTTTTAAAAAAAGCCATTAAAATATTTGATATTTATTCTACTCTCCCATCTTGTATTACTTACAGATTTGAATGTTAAACTAGTGATATTACTATTTAATATGTCCCATCTATAAGGGGATGCAGAAAAAAACATGTACAATTCTTGTACAAGGCTAAAAAAACAAACTATTACTTTGGCAACATCATTTACAACTAAATTTAATGAATGAGACAAACGAGGTACAGAAAAAAAGCTCTAAAATTTATTTTCCTTAAATTTACAATTTATGTATCCGTTGTCATAAAAGTTTGTCTTTCCGCTTCTTTCCCAAGACTACAAATATTCAAGTACAAAGTAATTGGTTTTGACTTATTTCTACTTTAGTAGTAGTTAAATGATTAAGATATTAGGGAATTATGGACATAAATAAAACCCTGCTGAAAGAGCCGGAATATTACTTAAACAAAAGCTTAACCGAACCAATCTCTAGCAGAGTACAGTGGGGACTGATTTACTCATAATACTGGATGTAATAAAGACAGAAATTTTTCCAGTTCAATGAGAGTGACCAAAAAGTTGTAAATTTTGGAACTTTCCGTGGACACCTGTTCCTAAAACGAATTAGTTAGAAAACAAATGACTATTAAGTTTAACATATTTAGATTTTTACAGCTATGGTGAGAAATGTTTAAAATTTACAATAATCCTGTCGCATCCTTTAAGGTGTACTAGTGATGCAACAAAAGAGGCATTTGACATTGACCAGTATCAGCACCCTCAGGATTTGGCAGTCCGCGTGCATGCATGCACTGCACACATACCAGGACAGTCTCTGATTCCATCCATTAGCCACTCATAGGGAATTATTTGACTAAGTGAATTGTTTTAAGATTTAAAGAGTAAATAATATTTTATGTTATTTTTATGTATGTTTCTTTGCAAAGCTATATTTAATTATAATTTTCTTTAAAATTATATTCATACACAATTGAATAAGATTTTGTACCAGGTATGTAATCTACCACGCATTTTATTTCACAAAGTAAGTTTTTATAATTTTATTTTTAATTTTAGTTCTTATATCGTGACTAGCAATTCTGAATGTAATTGTGATATTAAAAATACATTTAGAGAAATCTACGATTTTTACTGGCTTATCAAAAAAATGAATACAAATGGATACAGAATTAACTGATTGCCCCCTGGAAGTCGGCTTCTTACAGAAACACAGCTTCCCTATCATCAAATGTCACGGCATGCCACTGTTACAATGTAATATTAATAAACTTAATACCTTAATTAAGAAGATAAATTTACAAATAAATTCTGGCAAGACTAAAATAATGATCTATAACATGGTAAAAACATCAACTTGCAATACATTTTTTATTGATAATCAAAGATTGGAAACAGTTGAAAGTTTTCAGAATTTAGGTATAATATTTTATTCAAAACTCTTTCAAACTGCATATAGAAAATTTAATTAAAGTAGTCTCAAATTGTAGGGGAATGCTTTAGAAAAATATTGAAATAATTTCTAGTAAAAACAGAAAATTATTTTTCACCAACATATAGTCTGTAATAGACTATGCCCTTCCTATTTGGGCTTCTGCTCCTCCATCTACTACTCTAAATAAATTTATTCAGAATTGGCTAAAATTTACATTTTACTTAACATTCTAACCTTCCATTTACAGACTGTCCAGAAAACCTTGACTCAAAGAATCTCTTGATGCAATGCTACCCAATATTTTTATGGAGGAGGCATTCCAAGCATTAAGTTCCACACATCTCCCCTCCTCTGCCACCAACTACAACAAATGAAGGTATGTACAATGCTATTTTATTAAATTAAGTTTACATATTTGTTGCTTTAATTATAGATCCAACATTTTCTTATATTTTCATCAAAGAAAATCATTTTACAAATAACATTACAAAAATTCTGGAGGCTAAAACAGATAAATTGTATTTGCATTAATTTCTATGGGAAAAATTCTCAGTTAATGAACACAGTTGCAGAACAAATTAAGTTTGTTAACCAAGGTTCCACTGTATACAAGTTTCTACATAACAGTAAGGATGATATAGACCAGCGTTTCTCAAAGTGGGCGATAACGCCCCCTTGTGGGCACTGGAGGCTTTCAGGGGGGCAGTAGAAGACTCAATGAGAATTGGGGGCATTAAGGAAATCTAGAGAGGCGACGGCAGACAAATTCTATATATAAAAATTTGACGGAATATATATAAAATGTTGACATTTTATATATTTTTTATTTTTTATTGAAGGTCACAACTTGAATATTTCTAACACATTGACTTATATTTTAGCTCAGCGTTTCTCAAAGTGGGCAATAATGCCCCCTTCTGGGCGATGAGTAGATCTAGGAGGCGCTGGAGGCAGGGTATTGAACGGTGACCAAAGGCAAAATTGGGGCTGATAAGAGGAAACATTGCGTTTAATGGTTTCCAGATGATGAGAACAATGTACAGTAAGGGCACAAAGTGTGAGATTCATAGAAAAGTTTTCCTAAGAATATTTCCAATCCTTTTCTCACACAAGAGAAAATGGGTTAGGGGGTGTTGGGTATAACTTTACGGAACAAAGGGGGCAGTGGATCGAAAAAGTTTGGGAATCACTGATATAGACTATAACAATACACTGAGCACATACTCCATTCCAAAAAAATGAAAGATTTGAACACCAACTTGTGTACATAGGTTTCAAAAATAATTGTTACAACACAAGCTCAAGGAACACAAATAAAATGTCAACAATAATAACCTAACAACTACTTTAGCACAGTTCACAATGGAACCCAGGGTGTCCATAATACTAATGAAGCTAAGATTATAAAATCAGCCTTGGACAAGCAGCATTTAAGATCACTTTAAACACTAGAGATCTACAAAGCAACTTTAAAAAACAAATGCATTAATTATAAAATCTAACTCCCTTTCTGGTGCCTGGAAGTCATTCTTCTACACCACCTAGAAACAATCAGCAGCTTCATATGGAGAAAGAACATAAATTACTAAGGCCCAATAAGTACTTGATTACATTCAATAATAATTTTGCAATATTTAAATTACATGATGTATTTTAAAATATACTTATTTTTATGGATTGAATATTTCAAACTGAAAGATTAATATCATAAAATGCATTTAACATCCATCTGTGGAATTTCAGTTTGATGCATTATTCAAACACTGTCGCTAAACCTGAAGTTGGTTTATAAATAAATCAAAAATGTTTGTTTGTTTATCTTAAATACACCCAAGCTGAAAAAATATGAAAGGTATGGTTTCAAATAAATTTGTAATACAGCAACTCATCGCTTAACTCCATTTCATTATAATATCGTCGAGGAAAGATGTACATTCATGATAATTTATAATCATCATCAAATTTTCTTATAAACAGTAAAATTGATTGTTTAAGGTGGGAAATAAAGGCTAGAGGTTGCGAACATGCTCCAATTAGAACAATGTTAACTAACTTATATCTTTTTATCATTTAGCCTACAGTATAATTGGTTTTGTTATACATTGTTGTTTTCAAGAACCTATCAACAATGTTAAATAAGAAATTGCCATAATTGAATTATTCAATTCAGGCATCGCAGTGAATACTAAAGAACATCATGCAGCAAAACTTTGGAGAGTTTGAATACTGAAATATGACTATATACAAATTTCAGAAGCTAGCAGTTACTTAAATCATTAAATAGTAATAATTTAATCCAAAAAAATTACACTATAAATAATAGTATTCCAAACATGATGCAAGTCAAAAAATTAAATTAATAAAAGCATTTGAAATTAAATCTCAAATAATAAAATATTTAAATACTTAAGTGTCTTACATGCCAGTGTTCAGCAAAATGCTCTAATAATAATGAGATCAAAGGAGCTTCTCCTGGAAGTCTGAAGGTTTCTAAATATTGCCTCAAAGCTTCATCAATACGAAGATCTTCAAAAGTAAACGATCTGATAAATAAAATAATTACAAATTTGCAAATATATATAAATTTTATTTTAATAAAAACAAAATATTTTTACCTGACAAATGCTTCAAGAACTTTTAGATTCTTTCTATTACTAAGATATTCACCAATCATTCTCTTATCTAGTTGTGGATTATCTCTTAAGAACAAAGCTACTTCTGAAGGATTTAAAGGATCCTTAAGCAAGCCATGCTCTTGAAGAAAGGTAATACCTTTACTTGGTTGATTATTAAACTGTTCTGTCCCTACAGCTAAAAGCTGAAAAATGTATTCAAATTACTTTTATTTTCATTTAGTTATAATTTTTATTCTATTGTATAACACAAGTATCTGTAAGTTATATTAATTAACTATGACACACTGCTTAACCAAAACCTTGAAATTCCACTAAATATTTGACAAACAATTACCAACAAAATATGACCTAATTGAACCTATAACTGGCATGTACAAAGTTCAATCTTCCAAAACAAATGTTTTTCTAACCCCTTCTGGGTTCTTCTTCAGGTAAATCAGATGGATCTAACTTGAATACAAAAATTTGAACTAATCCGAACGCTGTTCTGTTTCAAATGTTTGGTTCGTTTGCGTATTCTGTCACATAACATGTTTGAAAGTGCTCGAACTTAACCATCAATATCCAAATGTTAGTGAAAGTTATGTCAAAATACATAACATACATGAGTGTGAGATAAAACATCAATAGTAATCTCACACGTTCCCCAGTAGTTTTTATTTAACACATAATAAATAGTATAATGCTATCACTCTGAAATGGTTAGAGCAGATGGAAATTTTTAAGGTGTATGACACATCCTCTTGCATTAATACAAGAGACGAGATTGGCCTTTCCATGGCATGGCAGAACTTACTGCATACGGAGTGATACCATTATACTATTTATTACGTAGTAAAGAATAAAGAAAAAATTATGGGGGAACATGTGAGATCGTTATTAATTATTTATCTCACTTTCACGTATGTTATGTATTTTAACGTAACTTTCTCTTGAGTTTTGACATTGTTCGTTAAGTTCGAGCACTTTCAAACCAATCACATGATGGAATACTCAAACGAACCCAGAAGGGGTTAAGAAAACATTCGTTTTTTGAAGATTAAACTCTATATGCACCGGTTATAGGTTCAAGTAGGTCATATTTTGCTATATACAACTTGATGTGCAGTTGCTGATTTATAAACAATTTCCATCTTACTGAAAACCCGCAGAGGATTTAATTGTGTTCTATTTAGGAATGTGTCACAAAACATGATATACTATAAATTTTAAAACAGAGATAAATAAATCTAAATAAAAATAAACATATTGTAACATCTTAAAAAGTGTGGTAGAAGAATAATAAAACATCACATTATGAAAAGAAAAATACATGGAATGAATATGTATGAAAGTTATAAAATGAGTAAAACTAAGAAAATGATTTATTCAAATATGACTGCAGTTATAAAGAACATCTAACTCAATATTCTAAAAACCAGCAAAACTGCAGTTATATTTTGATCTTTAGTCTGAAGATAGTCAATGAAAGAGGATGAAAACATTCGCTTGACAAGTGAAGAACAATTTTGCTGGTTTTTAGGTTATTGAGTTAGATGTTCTTTATATATTTAATCAGCATTCAGTAATCGTCCACTGTGAGTACAGTTTACTGGTTGATGCAAACAGCAAAGTACTGTAATTCATTGCTTTTAATTGTGATTGTTAATTAATTATTGATTGAAAATAAATTATTGATTGCTTTAATAAACATATTTCTCTTATTATCCACCTGTCTCTCAGCAATTGCAATTAATTATAACAACACAACTGAATTTTTGCCAAGCATAAAATTATTTTATTTCAAACGTTTTCAACCTTTTAATTATAGGTCATCCTCAGACTTACGATTATCGTTCCAAAATAGAACGTAATGTTTTTCAAATAAATTTCATTTTTACATTTAAAGATTTAGAATAATTGCGTATATGAAAAAATAAATAAATACAATAAATAAATAATAGTAAAAATAAAATAAAATGGCATAAATAAATAAATACCATATAGAAGGCTAAGTATAACTATTACAAGTTTTAAGGGTTTTTAATCCCCATACTTTTTTCTAACATGTACTTCCATGTTGTTGGAATTGCATTAGCATCCTTGGCATTTAGGCAACAGTTTTTTATTTTACTTTTATATATTTCCATCTTTTCCATTCCTAATGCAATAGTTGGGGGATTGGACCTCATCCCATTTTACATTCGCTCCTTCCATCTGCGCCATGATTGCTAAAATGGTGTTGTTGTGCCCTTTATTAACATTGTATCTGTGTTCTCGCAGATGTATTGCTAAGTTTCTTCTGGTTAAACCCATCATAATCCTTTGTTACTCTTAATTGTTGATTTTCAAATGGTATTTTATACACTCCAGCTTTCTCTTGCATTTTTACTCTGTCTTTATCATTCCTTAGTAAAGTGTAGATGCTCTTTTATATACCATTTTTGCATTTTTATAAGTACTCAATTCATTCATCACTCCTCCTATATGCTTATTGTATGTGAATTTGTTAATTGCATCTACTTTAGTATTTTTTTTGCCTTTATGCCAAAAAAATCAATTGATGTTAAGAAAAGTGGATAAAACCAAGCAAATGATAATTATGGAAATAAAACGTTACAACAAAGCCATTAACGAATATATTAAGAAGACTGAATGTGAGATTGTGGATGAAAAGATAGTCACATTAATGAACAAAAAAGTTAAAAAGCTTGAAAAAGCACCATTTGTGTCATTCCTGACATTCTTAAAAAAGTTGTCGCATAATCCCAGCCCCTGGATGCCTAGAATCTTTGCATTCACAAAGACACACAAAGAGAACAAGGAAATCAGACCAATGGTGGAAAAATGTAATGCACCAACATATATAATAGAGAAGTGCTTAAAAAAGTGCATTTATGAAGAGCTAGAGGAACATAATTATGAGGCTTGTGATCCAAATAAGGTGGTAAAAGAATTGCAAGACTTAGCTTTAATGAACGATGAAATAGGTACAGTGATGGATTTTGAAAGTCTATACCCATCCATGAATCTAATATCTTGTTTCAATGCACTCATTGATTGAATTTATGGTCCAACACAATCCAATGTTATTGACATACTCAGAGGACTTAAGTAATCTAGCAGATTTGATGTGCTACCAATCCTTTTTTGGATTCAACAGAGTGACATACAAACAAAAGAAAGGTGTCCCAATGGGAAGTCCCATGTCAGGACTCCTTTGCAAACTAGTAATATGTAAACTGGAAAAAGACATCCTCAGAGATTTCACAGAGGACATTATATTCTACAAATGTTATGTTGATGATGTGTTTATAATTTGGAAAGATAACAGACGAATTGAAGAATTTTTACCTGCAATCAATAGTAACGATCACGAATTAAAACTAAAACTAGAACAGAAAAACGATACTCATCTCCATTTTTTGGACATTAATTAATATAAAATTTAAACAAGGAGATGTGGAAACAGCAGTGTATACGCAATTATTCTAAATCTTTAAATGTAAAAATGAAATTTATTTGAAAAACATTACGTTCTATTTTGGAACGATAATCGTAAGCCTGAGGATGACCTATAATAAAAAGGTTGAAAACGTTTGAAATAAAATAATTTTATGCTTGGCAAAAATTCAGTTGTGTTGCTATAATTAATATTTCTCTTAGTAATGGAAAAAGAATAGTATACTTTTGCTAAGTTTTGGAACCTAACCCCATGTTTTGTATAGAACCGATTTGCCTAACATGCCACTTTTTTGGAATGTAACTACTGTGTTATATGAGGGATACCTGTATTTAACTAAATATGTAGCAATATTATAGCCTGATAATTCAGCAGTTTGTTTGGCTTTAATCAAAAATGGGTTTTTGAGATAACATTTATGTATATAAAAATATTACACAAAATAATATAATTTTGTTAATGAATTAAATGAAAATAATTCAAATATATATCAGTTTTATTTGAATAATAGCCACAACTACTGTTTTTTAAACTGCATATTTGTAGTTTCATCTTTCACACACAAAAAAAAAATTATACTATAAACATTTGAACATTTTAAAATTATAATTTACCAGGGCAGTGAAATTGTGTAAAAATCTACCAACTCCAACTTGCCTTAGCATCTGATTCCAACTCGGGGTGGACATGTTACCAAAATAGATCCGGAAATTCTGATGTCATCATGTGACCACAGAATAAAAGATTCAATAAATAGAGTTCTAATAAAAGATAGAATGAAAAACTTCTTTATTAAAAAGTTAAAAACTCCTCTAAGTAATGACACAGTCAATATATAAATATGTATTCAATAATTTTATTTTCCTGGCTGTTATATATAACATTTTCAAATGCTAAGCCATTGGTACAGCCTTCTAAACTTTCATAGACTGTTACATATAAGAGGAAAAGTGTAGCAATCGGTCAAAAAAATGACCCCTCCGAAATTTTTTCATTTTTGGACTCAGGACACATTGAAATGTCAAGATATGCAAAAGATTTGGTTTTTTTCCTGTATATATGGATGTTAGACTGTGTGTGTAGGGCACAATTTTGTTCACACTGTTTGAAACCTAATAACTTTTCAAGTTTTTAAACTGAGTTGAATGATTTAACATAAGTTATTAAGCTTCAAAGTGGTTAAACTAAATCATGCCCCCATAAACATTCTAAAGTTTTGTATAACATTTATATATAAAGGGTAGAGATAAATTTTATAAAAAAATTGTAAATGCTAACAGTGAGTAAAATAGTCATTAAGTCCAACAACACTGGAGATATCACCCATGACTCCTATATCTCCATCATGTCTATCTTTAATTAAGAACCTAAATTTAATAGTATTAATGCCCCTTTATACACAAGCTACTGTGCCAAATTTAGTTTCTTTAACTTTACCTATTCTGAGATATTGTTTATTATCTTAGAACTAAGAATAAAGAAATTAAACAAATTAGATGTCAACATGCAACTGCATGAATTTTTACCCTTTATTTGACATTTTTTGGGTTCAGGAAATCTCCAAACATGTAGATTTGCAAAATACTTGGCAGGTCAAATTTGACACAATTGCAGTACTTTTCTGTTTTATATACATAACAAGTTGGGAAGTATAAAGAAGTCGGAGTTGGTGGATTTTTGATGACTCTAACTAAAACACCAAAATGCCACAGCCTTGTAATTTACACTGTTTTCATTACATTAAATTTTAACTTTAAGTTGGCTTTTTAATATAGTATGGTTGCTGTTTATTCAATTTCTATGTATAACATTCTTTTAATCCAAAGAATTTTTCTTGGTATACAATCTTACAGCATTTTTGTTAAAAAAATTTTTTAAATAAAACTGTAATTTTCTAACCAAAATGCTGTAAGATCATCTACCAAGAAAAATTCTTTGGATTAAAAGGATGTTATACATAGAAATTAAGTTGACTTTATTTTTTCCATAAAATTAATCAAAATAAAAAATTATCCTCAAAATTTTATTCATAATTTTGATATTTGACATACAAACATGGTAAAGTATTAATGTACCTTTTTTTTATTCTTGATGTCAGTAATTTCTTTACGGTTCGGAATGTCATTTGCCAATTTTCTTCTGCCACAACTAAACTGAAAATCCATCTTGGTTCCTTTTAATTTGGTCGATTTATTTAATTTTCCAGAAATGGCTAACTGTCCCAACAAGTACCCAGAATGATTTGTTGTAATTGGTAAATCTTCATTTTCTTTTTCATCTTGTCTGCTTTCTACATGTTACAGATTAAACATAATTTTAAAATAAATATTTAAACATCATTTATTAAATGCTTCTCCTGACATAAAATAAAATTACATTAATTTTTACTTTTTCCAAATATCTGAATGTTATCATCTGATAATTGTAAATGAAAACGTTTAAGAGAGATGTTTATTATAAAATAATTTGTATTAGAATGCATTATACAGGGTGTGGCATAATGGAGTCCCACATTTACGAGGTGAATAAAAAAAAAAGGGTACAATAATATGGAAAAACTTTTTATTTATTCAATGCACATATAAGAAAGTTTTTTTTTTTTGGTTAGGTTTTAAAAATGATGTCGTCCAAATGTTGGCAATGCACGTTTGGAGCCGTTCCTTCAATTCTCACCAGCATATCTGGAGGAATTTTGGTGATTTCCTCATGAATTCTTGTAGGGTTCTCTACCTTGAGATATCCCCATAAGAAAAAGTCACGGGGACTCAAGTCAGGGGAGTGAGCAGGCCATTCAACAGCTTCTCGTGAAAAGATTAGTCGACCGGAGAACATCTCTGTCAAAATGGCACGAGAAGAACAGTTTGTATGGACTGTGGTTCCATCCTGTTGAAACCAAAAGCCACTTGTATCGTACTCTTTCCTTTTGGGGTGCAAAAATTTAACAGTAATGCCACCCTCTTCAAAAAAAAAAAAAAAACAACAGGCTCCACAATGCCTACACAGGACAAAGCACACCAAACAGTGACTTTCGAGCTGTGAAGAGGTCATTGTGGAGTTCTTGGGGTTTCCAGCAGCCCAATAACAAAAATTCGGCTTGTTCATTGTGCCAGACGGATGAAAATGCACTTCATTGCTACTCCACACAATACCTCTAGGAGGCACAGCTGTAGAGATTTATCATAATCATTTTTAAAACCTAACCAAAAATAAGCTTCTTACATGTACTTTGAATAAATAAAAAGTTTTTTCCATATTATTGTACCTTTTTTTTTAATTCACCTCATAAATGTGAAACTCCATTATGCCCCACCCTGTACTTGAAGTAAAATAACATTTTGTTTTTGGTAAATAGAGAAATAATAATATTTAAAATTAATTGATAGTATTGTTATTATATTAACACATAATATTATTATAATAAGCTACATGACAATTTCTATTTATCAAATAAATTTATAAGAAGTAGAGTTAGTTGCATACAAGACAATGAGTTTAACATACAAGATATAACTATTATTATTTCTTCTATATTGAGTTTAAAATATTAATTTACAATGATTTAGATATTTATGTGAATCATAAGATTCTTAATAGATGTTTCTTAATGAATGTGGGGAAACTGCAAATGACATGTTAGTAGATGACACAGAAAACTTAAGAGTTAAATTTTATTTAAAAATATGTATTTCTTTATTTCCCTGCAAATAAAATTTCATTTAGATTTATAAAATATTTTTTATAAAAATTTTTCATAAACCAACTAGAAAATTATTTTCCCTGAAATTTCTGCATTAAAAAAATTATTGATTTCCAGGAAGATTAGAGTCCAAAATTTGTTTACTTGTTTTTGATAGTCCCTTAATTTTTATAGTATCCAGATTTTCTGAGATGGCCAAAACTCTATTCAAAAGTACAGTAGAGCATCGTTTATCCGAAAGTCGGTCAACCGAAAGCGTTTCAGTTGGCAAATTTAAACTTCCGCTAGTGCTGTGGTGCTGCAACCTTTAGCTGTATCTTGGGCTACTCCAATATTCTTTTTGTTGGTGTGTGTGTTTTAGCTGGCAGCACTGGCACTTTTGTGTAGTGTTTTTCTGAGGACTGTGTGTCGTGAATCGAACGTTTTTGATACTAGATTAACTTCTAAAGTATAATTTCTTTTGTTTTTATATTTTTCAATATATTTATTTTGTTTGTACAAAATAAAGAAATAATTTTTAACAATTCAATAGCCACGATTACTATTATAAAAATTTTTGTTAGGCTTAGCATCACCAAAAATTGAACACAAAGTGACATGCAATGGAGAAAAATTTCAACATAAAATAGGTTAATATAATTTTTCGTACATAATCGATTATCTGAACAACCCCAGTCCCCAATTGAATTGAATAAATGACGCTCTACTGTATGTATTTTGTTTTTATAATAACTAAAATGAGAACAAACTGTTTTTGTGGAGTAAATATATTTCCTTCTCTTCTGTATATATAACAGTATTTGAAAAATTAATAATGAAAGATCTGATAAATTAAAATCCTCCAACTTTGTAATTGAATTTAAAAGACAGAGAGATGTTATACAGAAATAAAAGGATTTGTATTTAATTCACTCTGAATTAAAGTGTTTTAATTGAATTAGTTTTTCTTTTCTCACATACTTCCTTTTATATATAGTAGTTTTAATAAAACCTAAGTAATAGTTTCTCTTATAGGAAGCCACATTCCAACTCAAATTATCTTTGTGAAGAAAATGCAAATTAAGGCAAAGTTATCAAGTTGAAATTTCCTTTAGTCTATCTTCATCAAGAATAAAGAAAACAATTAGGCTCCTCATTTACTGACAAATAATGACCCAATTGTACAGCATAACTCAGTTGTTAAGTGAGAAGTGTCTTTATTAGAAGATTCTTGATCTGAGACTTTCTGAGACAAATCTACCTGAGTGAAGATGGCATCTACCTTGCTAAACTTTGTTTTTTGTATCCTGGTAATACTGGAAATCCCAGCTATCATCATCTAATACTAATTTTTTTCAAAAATTTCTGGGCTGTCTTGTAAGAATTCACACCATTAGTTCATTTTGGTCTCTTTCTGTTCATTGGTTATATAGTGTGACAACAAATTATTCACATTCCCAAACTTTTATCTTTTAAATCATCTGCATTGGTTCTTTGTTGATGTTCAATATTTTGATGATTATGTAAGTAGCAATCATTCAGTCTTCATGAATTAGAAAATTTTCTTCATATTTTTATCATTTCAGATGAACTGGTTGTCAGTCAGGGATCACGTTCAACTGATTCTTGTTCATTAAAAATTGTGCAAATCATTCAGAACCACAAGCATAGAATAAAAACTCAACAATATTTTTCAGGTTTTCATATGTTTCAATTGCACTTTTATCCAACTTATGGTAAAATTCAATTACAATGCATCACTCCATTGCCAGAATTTAGACACAGCATAACAGTAAAATTACATTTCCTTTGCCACAAGAGAACAGCCAATGCTATCTTTATGATATCTGTTGATATGAAAAAGCTCATTGTACTAGTCAAATTGTACAAAAGTTGTAGATATGCCATAAACAGCACAAGTAGAGAAAAATCAGTCTTATTACTTAATTAGCATCCCATGTATTTGTGTGTATCGACATTGTTATAAAAAATTTGAAATTTGATAACTTTTACACTTTCAAAGAAATGTTTCAAGATATTTCAAGCATTAGAGATGTGATAAAAACTATGGTTCCTAACAGAATAACACACACATCTATTAATCATGTGACAGATAGTCATTGGGTACTTTACTTGTGCAGAGAGACAATTTCTTTAAAAATTCCTCATTTTTCTACATTGAACTGGTATTTAAAAGAAGTACCATTCTTTGATACTGTTAGATAACAATTCTAATTAACAAATAATAATTTCACTTAACTTACCAATTTCCTGATACGTATTTTTAGTATTTTTTTTAATTTCAATTTCCAACTGACTTCCATTTAAAATACGAAAATGACAATGACTTTCAATACTATCGACAACTGCTAATAATGCATCTAGGGACAGGAGATGCGTCGAATACAGTCCCGAGACCGGAAAGGCATTCTGAAATGTAACTTATTAAATTATTACATTAAAATTTAATTTAATAAAATAAAATAAAAAAGTTGAGATTTTCTGGCTGCTTGACATTTCTAGTTTAAGAACATTCCAAGACATTTCTAAATCTAAATAATTTTTTATTTTTCAGATTATTTTAAAATATATACTCAGAGTATTTCTATCATCACAAATAAATCTTGAGAGAAACGTTTTTATTGAAAAATAAAATACCAGTATTAAGTAATCAAATATAAATACCCAAACTCAATAGTGATGTGTTATTGAGTCCCACTTTGAGCAGATTCTTTCTTCCAGAACGTTCTAAATTAATTATTAAATTTAGCAAAAGATGGCACCTAATGCCTGCTTCTAGTGGCAAATTACTTTGCATTTAATTAATAATAATAGTAATAATGTAGCTTAACATAATTTGGCAACCATTTGGCTTTAAAATATTAAGTTAAACATTACAGAATGTAAATCTGAATGATGTTGAATAATGTTTCTAACGTTTTCGGTCTTGTTAAAAGACCTTTCTCAAGAAAAATAAATCAAATAAAACAACAAAATTGTAAATCGAACACTTAGTACAACTAACACGTTTTTTGAATATTTTCGAACTAGCTTATAATCCGTTGCAAATGACGTCATTGTGAACTTAGCAACGGAAATATACAAAAGATTACATAAATATCTAGAAAGTTTTTAACTACTTGTTTGTAGTTAAAAACTTTGAGTAAATGACTTTAAAGCTGAAAGACAGCATAGTTTATTCCTAATCAAGTCTGGCATCACTAGTGAATCACACTTTTATATAAAATATTATTTAAGGAATACTGTAACTCATCAAAAATGATGAGAGAAGGAATAAAATACATCAATCATTTAATATAATCAGTAATTATTTGTGAAACTTTAAACGGTGGGCAAAAATCCATCAAAAATGCCTGAACATCGGACCTCAAATCCCAAACAATTAAGATATTTAGAGGCTGTTGAAATTTACAAGGCCATTAGGAACCAGAAAGCAGTCAATTTCAGAAAGACTGATACACTATGTATAGCATGCTACAAACTCTCCTAGGACTTCTGTTCTATGTAGTTATCATTATACTCTTTGCCTACAGGCAATTTATGTTTAAAGTTGTAATATTAATATTTTTAAATTATCAAAAATATAATTATTAACTTCCTATATGTTAAACTGTAATTTTTAAGTGTGTATGTATTAGATTGGTAACACCATACCAATGTAGTACATGTGTGGAATTTAAACCACTTTAAATCTTTATATTTAAATGTGTTCAATTGGTTAAAATTATCCTGTTTGGTATTGGTTCGTGGGTAATAAATTTTGGTTTTATTCGATTACAGCACACACAAGCAATCTGCTGATGAGGGGAATGCCTCTCGAGAAGTCTTTTAAGAGAAACTGGTCCCTATTTAGGTGTTACTAATGTGAAGACCCAGAAAACTCCATATGGCCGACCTGTTGGTGAGGTGTGAATCCACAACCACTTACCAGTGTTTGGTGGTTTTATCCACTTGGCCACTGGTGGTATCATAGATAATGGACAAAAACATTTTTATCACTAAATAATTTTACTGGTTTTGAGTATATTTGTGAGTTTTTGAAAAAGTTAAAATTGTTATTTACACTTGGTTAAAAAGTATTAATACTGACAGTATTCAAATAAACATCAGTGGAAACAAAACTAATTTTTGATTCAAAATTTCAATTGTGGATTGAAAGAAATTTTCTTTATCTTATAAAGTTAAAAAGTATTAATATGGGACAGGTAAATCATTTGAATAATTCTTTTAACTGACTGATCAGTTATTTTTCATTTAAATATGTCCACTCTCCATAAATAATAACTCGTGGAGAGTGGACACAAATTAAAAACATTCCAAAAATTATAATTTGTGATAATTAATGTCTGTGCAGTATGAACTACAGACTTTCTAACAGTGGTAATGATAAAATAACAATGAAAATAATACATACAGTGGGTGATCAGTTAATGAACAAATTGAATAATGAACACTTTTTATGTTCGGACAACGAACACCTCACAGAACAAACACAAGAAGAAGTGCTGTAAATTAATGAATACTGATTGGTCTTCCCTGCTCTTCGGACAACAATTCAAAACTTTTTGGAGCACAGGAGACGTTGACATTGACGCTCAACCTGGTATATATTGATCAGATAGTATTCCTCTAAACTTTGAAACTTTCCCTTTTATTTCCAGCCTTTTATTTTCTGACAGAAACAATTTTTTTATAGTACTTGCAAGACTGTTGGGCAGGCACTTGTTAAGTTTTGTGTCAGTTTTTATTTTCGAAAGGTAAGAGTATAATAGCAAAGGTAGAGAGTGGGCAGATGTCTGGTGTCTGTTGTTGCTGGACAGTATGGCTCGAACAGGTCTACAGTAGGCCGCAGTTCAATGCAAGAAAGATGCTGTATAATCAAGAAGACTCAAGCAGCTTAGGGAGTAACAAAAATCACATCTGAGAAATAAAGAACATTGAAGAGCTCGTAACGGAACCTGAAACTGATCTGACAACAGAAGAACACCAAGAAACTCAGCGGGAAATGTTTTCTTTTGAAAAAAAGAATTAATGTTGATATCTGCTATTAAACATTTTTTTTGAAGAAGTGGGATGATGTCAGAAGATCTTAGAATGGCATCCAAACCAGATTGAGGTTAATAGGCTTGGGGATCTCTACAATTACAATGCTATTAATTACTTCTGAAAAATCTTGAAGAAGAAAGAAATGCAATCGACATTAGACAGATTCTTTAACCCCTACAAACGGAAAAAACATGACTAATAAAAATGCAAGACTGTGTGTATATGTATTTTTATTATTACATATAAATAAATGTAATAAAAAAGTATACATTTTTTTATTTTTTGGTGTCTCCAGAACAAATTAATCAAATTCCCATAATAACCTATGGTAAATTGATAATTGGTTAGCGAACAATTCAGATAGCAAACAAATTCTTGGAACAGATTATATTCGTTAACCAATCACCCACTGTATTCTAATCATATATACACCCAAGGGTTATGCACAAGTTATGATATAAACTACAGAAATACTACCTGTGGAATAAATTTGACCTTCTCAATAATCTGAAAGATAAGCTGCCCTTCAAACTTTCAATCTTAAAATTTGAGCATTCCATCCTGGATCTCAGCTTTTTCTGACAAAGATATACAGAGTTGACTGACAGAAAATGTTTGAACTTTTTAATACTTTCACTGCAGGATTGACTTTCAGGTTCATATATATTTTTTGTTTTGAGAAAAGAGTATATACAAATATATATATTTGGAAATTTGGTGAATTCTATCTACAGTATTTTAATAAAATAATCTATAATCAGTGAATCTCACATTATAATGTAAGATTCACTTAACTTGGACAATTAATGTAAAACTGTTTCTTTTTAAATGAAAATTGATTCTCACAACTTACATCTACTATACAATATTATAAGATATGATTTTTCTTGCAAATATTCTGTCAATAAACTTCCTTTAAATATTATGAATAAAGGTTATCCACATAGGAAATGGAGCAGTTCTGCATCTTGTTTCTTCACTAATCTACAGAATAAAATTTTAACCAACTGAAATCAGCCAGTCAACTTGCCAGTTTATCCCAAAGATTTACACTCATAAGAATTGATGTATTATCAATTCTTTAGATTAAAGTGAATTTAATTTTAAATATAAACAGCCATATCAAACCCAATACATAGCAGTAACTTATAATTATGAATTTAACTTTGAGATTAAAATGCATGCAACCAGCCCTAAATGAATAAAATATTTTTAAAATTTATGTGAGATTAGCCGGGGGTACACTAATTCGTTAGTACCACTTAATCGGCCTATTCCGTGAGAATAGTTCTCTGAGTTTCGAATCGTAAGATCCGATCGTAAAAAGTTTACATAGGAGAGCGTATAAAATCAGATCCGAACTGCGAAGTTCAGAAGTTCGTCAGGTTCCCGACACCAGTTTGTCAATTTATCGATGCGCGGACAAACACGCGTATGCGATCTGATTCGGAATAAATTGAGGAGACATTCTTATAAAATAAAACAAGAGTAAATTTAATAAATCTCGAACAAACGAATACAATTAACCAAATACAACGATTATACGACAAGCTATAGACTAGGACTGAATCTATGCTAATGCGCGTTCGAGAGAGAGAGCTCACAAAATTATTCTAAACATACGACCTGTTTAGATGTTGTCGTCTTCGTTTCTGTAGGTAAAGGACACCTTGTAAATAGAGTTCATATTACTTTCGAAAGGGAGATCACTATGTGCACAAAATATAAAAAAATATCACTTCTTCTAAGTGTAGACTCGGGACTTAGTCTATCGGACTCCGTTTTGGGCGTTGGCCATCAGGAGGAAAACTGCGTGGAGTTTAGATGCTTCGGATCTGTCGAAGAACTCCGAATTCTGACTAATTTCTCCTTTTATGTCAATATTTTCGTCCAATCATCGGCTTGGATTTCGTTCATGTGAGCGGATGAAAGGGGAATCGAAGAGGGGTCGAAAGTTCCCATCGAAGCGAGATTTTTAACGGATAAGGGAAAAACAGAGGATGTACGGACTTCCTTTAACGGAAGTAGCATCTGTTATCTATCTTTTCCCACGACTAAAACACCAATTTTTCACCAAAAACAAAGTAATATTTTTTGTCAATATTTAAGCATATTTAATAAAAATTATTAAATGAGGCCTAGGGCCCTCAGGTTTTCACATTTATATATTAAATTGAAAAATAAAATCTCCAAAACTATTTCAAAACTTAATTAAAATCATTACTTAACAATTTAAAATAACTATTATGTTTTAATATAAATTTATTTCACAACAATGAATATAAAACAGCTTTTATATTCAGCAAAGAGAAATTTATGCAGATTTAAAGATTTGAATAACTAAATTACAGGAAAGATCTTGT